AACTTCTCATAATTTGCTGTATAAATCATATTTTTTTTCTCCATGCCTTGGTGGCTCTTTCTTAGACCCCACCCTAATTTGCTTTATAAAAGTTTCCTAATACTTCTCTTTATTTCCTTAGTTAGATGCCTTACCTTTGTACCCTATCTCTACCTTATCTCCTGTTATATAGTTATTTGCTTCTGTATCTGTCTCTTTGACTAAATTGAAGAATCCTAAGAGTAAGGGACTTGTCTTGGTACATTTTTGTTGTCCCTGGTTTTAGCCCAGAACTTGGAATACACTAAATATTCAGATTGTTTGCTTAAGGAAATAATGTCAAAAACTAAACTTTTCTCATGAAACTTGTTCCTCTTTCAGTGTTCTAGAGCTTTTGGTACCTAACACAACACTCCAGATCTTCAGGTCACTTTTCACCTGATTATTTATTCCTAACCAAAGGTCTCTCCCCCCACCACCTCTCTCCCTCCCTCCCCCCACTTCTCTCCCTCCCCCTCCTTAACAACAACAACAAAAAACTCCAGTGTAGGTTCCTGAACTTCTCATATGCATCCTAATTTGTATTATTATATAGGTTTTTCTCAGAATCTCAGACTTTTGGTGTGGGAAGGATCTTATATACAATTTGTTCTATTCACTCACCTGAAGTCTGAAGCTTTATAACATCCTTCCCAAGTGCTCCTCTGTACATATTATCTTTGTTGCCCCGGAATAGAGTGCTTCCCAAGTGGCAATTTAACTTTGGAACCTTTTGCCAATATAAAATTCTTTCCTATGTGCATCTGCTTCCTTGTAACTTTTAACTATTTCAACCTCCTCTCCCATGTTAACTCTTTAAAATTTAAAACAATATTTTTTTCATTTTCCTTGAGTTTTCTAGAATTCCTTCAACTAAGATTGTTTCCACTTCTCTAACTAGCCCAGCCACTCCCCTCCAAATGATAATTAATTTCCTCTAAACCACTGTCCAGAACTGTCTGCAATGCTCCTGATAAGTATGAAGCCTTAAAATAGGCAAGTTCCGTCTTTGTCCTTGCTCTGGACAATATCAGCCTTGAGCTTCATCACATCAAATGTTTGACTTACAGTAAGTAACCTTAGCATCTAACAAACCCTTAAGATCTTTCCGATCTTGTTGGCTTCTGAGTGGTACAGCTATGACTGCATCCCCTGGTCACCAGATCTGCAGGCTTGGGGGTCCAAGAGTAGGCCATTGAGGTCGGTCTGTGGACTTTGTTTAATGACTGTATCCCCAACCCTCTCGGGAGAGGGCAGAGCTCTATGACTCCTTCCCCCTAGAGGGCAGAGCAAAATGCCTTACTTGTTGGGAAACCTTGATAAAAACAAAGTTGACGGAACCAATGTGGCGTTGTTCCACTGTAAACTTAATGACCATTCTTCCGGGCCCTTAAGCACCCTTGCTGTCTGACTCACTTCGCCCCGCGCCCTGTCCCCAGCCTTGTCCCTCACCAGCCTCAGCATCTTCACGTGGCCTTTCACGCTGCAGCAAAAGGGGCGATGTCTTGGTTTCAATTGCATGGCGGTCTCCATTGCGCCAGCGGACTTGACATCTACACTTTTCCGATCCTTCTCCGCAGCACCCGACCCCGCCAACCTTCGCGCAAAGGATCTCAACGGCCGCCGCCCCTCTGGGCTTCCCTCCCTCGCGCGCGTGCGCAGCAACCCCCCCCCGCCCTCGCACTCGTGCGCCTGCGCCCAACGGGAGCCTTGCGATCCGCTTGGTGGACCTGGCCCAAAAGCCAACCTGGGAGTGCAACAAAGTGGTTCCGCCTCCTGTTAGCCCGCTTCGCCCTACCTGGTACTTAGGACCATAACTCTCCATAACTCTCCCCAGGAGCTTCCCAGTAGGCCGGCTCTGGCAGGGTTGGGGTAGGGGAAGACGGGCAAGGGAGGGTGACCCAGGAATGCTTGCTGTGTCTCCGCAGACTGTGGCATCTCAAATGCCACCTCCTTAGAGAAGATTTCCCTTGATCACCCTGTGCAGAGTGGTCACCGTCACTCTCTCCTCAGCCTTTATCTCTAGCTGATATCATAAGGCTGATTCCTGTGAGGAAAGATTGATTAATGTGTACCGAGTTATAGTTAGGAGAAAGAAGTTCTGGTGTTCTATGGCACCCTATGGTGACTACAGAGAATGATAATGTACTATTTCGCTTAAAAATAAGAAGTCCAAAGAAAAGGTTTTGAATGTTTTCACCACAAAGAGGTGAACACTACAGAATGTATATATGTATTGAAACATCATATGGTCCCTGGTAAATAGGTACAATTAAAAAATGTATTTAGTTGTAGATGGATACAATATCTTTATTTTATTTATTGATTTTTATGTGATGCTGAGGATTGAACCCAGTGCCTCATGCATAAGAGGCAAGCGCTCTACCACTGAGCTACAATCCCAGTCCCAATAGGTACAATTTTTGTGTATTAGTTAAAAAAATAATACATATCCCACAAAAGCAAGGACCTGTCTGTGTCTGTGTCTCTCCCGACAGGGTCTGGCAAACAGTAGCTGTGTAGCCTGAACTAATGGCCTGGATCTCTTATGCTATCTGTGTTCCCAGGGCATCACAGTCTAGGTTTGTAAGTCTGTTAGTTCGCATAGTTTTACTTTTACCTCGCACTGATGCTAGTGTTTCCATACCTAGAACAGTCTTAGGTCCTTAAGATACTCCATGTTTTCCACAAATGCGCCAATGAAGCCAATAAAATCACTCACAAAAATATTGACCTTAATCTTGAAGTTTATTTATAGAAAGCAGATAGGCAGGAAGCCCAAGATGGGATGGTGGTTTTCTGGTCACAGATCTAGAGGCTAAGACTGAAAATGACTTCTTTCTCTCCGCACAAGCGTGACTGCCAGGATCCTATACTTAGGGGAGGGGGAAAACTACCTACCCACTGAAACTCTCATATAGTCTACGGTGGCAACAGTTGTATTTATTGGGCTTGGGTCAGTCGAATTATAATACCTTGTCTAGGGTTGCAGATGTAGCTCAGTGGTAAAGTGCTTGCCTAGCATGCATGCATGCAGTTCAATCCCTAGCACCACAAAACAAACAAACACCACCTAGTCTATCCCAAATCCGGGCTGAATTTTTGTTACCTGACTATAGGTGGGATTTACAGGTTTCCTCCCTATACCCATTTGTCTGTCCATTTGGAATACTGATAGGACCTTCCTGAGGGATCTAGCACATTTATTGTTCTGAATTCCGACTCACCTGCTCCCCCACTTTTTAGCCTGTGCTGGGGATCAAACCCAGCGTCATTTTGCCCAATTTTCCAATAACGAATGGGAGTGACAGTATCTACATACAGGGTTGTTGGGGAGGACCACCTGACATGAAGGGGAACGTGGCAGGTGTGGATGGCGTAGGCGCCAATAATCTGCAGTAAATTTACAAACCAATCAGTCCCCCTGGGAATACTGCTATCCATCCTCCAAGTCATGCGTGCTGCTAGCTGCGAATCCCTCACCGCGGACCTCTCCCTTTCTCGGAGAGAGTGAAATGCGACCGGGTCTCTTTAAGGGCGCCCGGGCGGGCGGGGGAGGGGGCGCGCGGGGCTGGACGTGCGGCGGGGCCGCGCTCGCTCTGTGTGGCTCAGGAAGGAAGCCGGGGCCGCTGCCTCCGCCCGCTGGCTATGCTGCTGCGACCGCTGCGGGGCTGGGCCGCCCGGGTGCTGCGCAGCGCTGGATCTGGGGGCGCCGGGACCCCCGCCTCGGGCGTCTGGCCGCGGGGGGCGCAGCGACGCGCCTGGCCTCCGGGTAATTTGTGCCTTTGCTCCACCTCCGTGGCGTCGCGCTGCAGCCCCCGCCGGCCTGACCCCTAACGTCCTCCTCCCAGCCGCGGGACTTCCCCCGAGCCGCGGCGAGGGGCGGGGGCGGTCATTGGCAGCACCTGGTCGCGCGCCGGCGGCGAACGGGTGGGGCCGCGGGGTGCGCTCCTGGCTCCCAGGTGGACAGTGGGGCTTTAAAGAGCCGGGAGGACGCAGCCCGAGGGGCGGGGGCGGCCTTGAACTTTCGGGCCGGGGCTGGGACCCTCGGCGTGTTCCGTGGGGCGGGGGAGGGGGTCCTTTGGCCTCGGGGAGCTGCGTTAAGCCGGCCCTGGGCGGACGAGGCGCCCGCGGTGGTGAGTGGGTTAGATCCCCGCGCCCTCCACCCTCGCGGTGACCCACCCCTTCCGAAATGGTCGCCACCTCTAGGGCCAGCTGTGGCGTCGCTGGCCTTGGGCTGTTGAGAGGCGACTCAGCACCACCTGTGGGGCGGGTGGGTGGAACGAGTCTTCCGGCCCCAAACCCAAGCCCTGTGCCAGCTCTCCCCAAAGGCCCAGTACAGGCCTCTCTGCGTTGTCATTTGTCGGACTCCGATCTGTGAAGACCCCAGATATAAAATGAGTGGAAAACCGGAAGGTATAATATACTAAGTGAAAGAACCTGGTCATACTTGGGGCTCAGATGTGCTTACAGGACCCAGGCAGCCTCTGCGGTGTCGCAAGTAGGTAGGCCAGGTGCCCTGCCTCCACCCACCCAGGGAAGGGCCCAAGAATAGAAAATATTTTTAGGTCAGGGAGCAAGCATAAAAATTACTGTTTGTGGTCATTTGAGTGCACAGAAAAGTGAGTTGTTTAAAAAGTAAGTCAATTTAAAAATTGTTTTCCTTTCTTTTGTAGATAGAGAAAATGAAAAAGAGAAAAAATCAGTGGTAAGTTCCTCTTTTGTGCGCACTATCATAGGTTAATTCTTAATTTATTTTTGAGGAGGGGAATAGAGGAATATGTGTACATAGTAAATAATAGAAAAATTACCAGGGATAAGAGCATCTGTTTCCATCCCTGGGCCTCAGAACCCCTCAGAGGCCACCTCTGTAACCAGTTTCTTGTATGTTCCTCCTTAGAGTGTACACAGATAGGAGCATACGTGTATTCATATTCTTTTTTTTTTCATTGTTGATAGACCTTTATTTTTTTATATGCATTGCTGAGAATGGAACCCAGTATCTGTCTCACGCCAGACAAGTGTGCTACCCCTGAGCCCCAGCCCCTGTATTCATATTCTTTAGGTAGATTTGGACTGCAGCTTGAGGATTGATTGTAAAAGTATTGAAAAATGGTCAGCCTGTGTGGGGAAGGTTGGTTTCACTGTGGCTTGGGCAGCCCAGATGTGAGAGAAAGATCTGCTGATTGCTTCCTTCAAATTGTCTAGTGCTGAGAATGGTGGGTGGAGAGGGGATCTGAGAGAATCCATGAGGGTCCATAGGTATGGACTCAAAGTCATTCAGATGTCTTGGGGAGGTCCTGGTTCTGGGGTGGGGTTGGGGCGGTGTGTGGCTGAAGGTCAAAGGAGGCCGAAGTTAAACATATCTATAGGGATGTTGGGTTCTTCAGCTGACTGGGGTCAGGAACAATGTTTTAATCACCATCAGTCCATGGGCTCAGTTTCTTAGGGGAGCTGGAAGTCAGTAGCTTCTGTAGCTGGGGAAGAGGTAGCTTGGTTGGTGGTGGCATGAGTATGATGGCCAGGGTCTGCAGAGGCTGGAAAGTGTGGGCAGGCCCGTGGTGTACTCAGGATGATGGAGAGGGCCTGGAAAGGAGTGACATTGCAGGGAGGGGGCTGATGATTGACATGCTTGAGATTTATGAAAGTTTAGTGAAATTATAGGAGGGGGTGAGGTATGGCAGTGGCCACCATAGAAAGGGAGGGGAATACAGAGTTGGGTTGGATGAGAATTTATGTATTATTGTTAATTATTCAGCTATGATCCTCTTCTAGGTGCTTTCAGGTGTCTGATATGTCCCCAGATACATAGTAGCAAGTCCATAGAAAGTGGTATCCTGTAACCATTCAAGTCTTGTGAGGTCCTTTGTGGGAGACACTGCATGAGGACCCTAGGAACCAAACAACTCATGTCATTAGGGAGCCTGAGCTCAGTCTAAAGGGGGCTACGTAGTAAACAGGACAGTGGTGGATCTCAAGCAGCAGAGAGTCTGGGGACTATGAGGAAGCGGGCAGGGGGCTGACGATCGATCCTTGAGAAACCTTGATGCTTCTGGATGGAGAAGAAGGAACAGCATATGTCACTGACAAAAGGAAGAGAACCTGTGGGTTTGGACTTGTGGCCAGTTCTTAGAGAGTGGCTGGGGAGGGCTTGAGGGTATGCAGAGGGACTGGGGATAGATCCTAACATCTACAGCCACTGAAGGATTTTATCCCTGTCTCAATCTGTTTTATGCTGCTATGATAGAATACCACAGACTGGGTACCTTCTAATGAACAGAATTTTGTTTGACTTGTGGTTCTAAAGATGGGGAAGTCCAAGATAGAGGAGCCAACTCTGATAGGGCTTTCTTGCTCCATGTGTGTGTCATCCCATGGTGGAGAGGATGGTGGAGAAGAGAAAGAAATTGGGGAAGGGGGTCCAATTCAATCTTCCATCAGGAACCCATTCCTGTGATAAATAACCCACTCTTTCAGTGATGTCATTAATCCATTCCAGAAGGCAGTCCTCATGACCAAATCAACTCTTAAAGTCTCACCTCTCAATACTGTTGCATTGGGGATCAAGTTTCCAATACATGAAGTTTGAGGGATGCATTCAAATCATAGCATCCATGTGCAACATGATTTGGTTTGCCTCTCAGGGAGAGACAGTGGCGGGCTATGGGTAGAGTGCTATCTGGGGTGAGGCTGGAGGTAGAGAGGCTGGCAAGGAGGTCACTCCAACAAGGAAGAGCAGAGGCCTTTAGCTAGGGGTAAGTGGGTTGGGCATTGACTGCAGATGAGTGGAAAACAGGGCCCAGGCACATTACTGATTGATTGGTGTCGCTGGGTAAGGAGAGGTGTTCAGGGTGTGGAGGGTGTTGAGTGGATAGTACAGCCATCACATAGCATTATTACAATATCAAACCATTGAACACTACAATTTTTATAATAGAACAGTTAGAAGGAATTTAACGTCCAACAGTAAGATTTAATACATTGTTACTTATCTTATGTGATGGAATATATAAGCCATGAAAAATCATACTGTTGAAAAAAATAACTGGATGTGGTGGCACAATAGCTATGGAAATAATCTAGATGCCCTTCAACAGGTGAATTATAAAGAAATTATGGTATATATACACAATGGAGTATTACTCAGTCATAAAGAAGAATGATTATGAGATTTGCAGGTAAATGATGGACCTGGAGACTTATCATGCTAAATGAAATAAGGCAGGTTGAATGTTTTCACTGATATGTAGAAGCTAACCTACAATAAGCGGGGAGAGGAGAAGAATAGATATTTAGATATAGATAATATCTATTATCTAATAGATATTAGACAAAGGGGAGTAAAGGGAAGGGAGGAAGGATAGGAAAAGGAAAGAGTGCAATAAATCCAAAATAATTTTCCTATGTACTTATATGAATACACCATAGTGAATCACACCATCATGTACATTCATAAGAAGGGGGTTCTAGCTAGAATAAGACATATTCCATGCTTTTACAGTTATGTCAAAATGAATTTTGTCTCATATATCTAAAAAGAACCAATAAAAGAAACTGGAAAAAAAAAAGAAGAATTGGGGTTGTAGCTTAGTGGCAGAGTGCTGCTGGGCTCAATCTCCAGTACTGGAAAAATAATTCAATAAAGACTTTTTTTTTTTTTAAAGGACCCAGTTCAATGTCACTTAATATTTAAAGAATGAAGAGAAGACTTCCCACTTTCACCCTCAGACTCTCTCTCCTATTCTCCTATTCCTACTCTCTCTCTTAACCCCTATTGTTAAGCATATGACTTTCTCTTAATAGTCTGAGAATTTCAGTTTATAATATTTTTTCTTGTTTTTTCCCCTAGAAACAGTTTACTTTTTTTTCCCATGTAGGTCACACAATGTATTTTCATTCTTATTGGTGTGTGTGTGTGTGTATTTTTTTTCCTTTTTATTACTCTTTTACATAGTACCTTCCTGTTTCTTTCTTTCTTTCTTTCTTTTTTTTTTTTTTTAACATATGTGGAACCACACATTGCTTATTATGATCTTCTGGAACCAGAGCCACTTGGGCCTCTATCACTAGCAGTGCATAACTGAGCAGAGCCTTGTCAGAATTCTAGGACAATAAGTTGGAGGGTTCCAACCCAAAGTATGATTCAGACAGTCTGGATACTACCACATTTTTGACAATCCCCTTTAGGGCTAGGGGTGTAGCTTGGTGGAAGAGCACTTGCCTAGCATTCTTGAGGTCCTAGGCTTGATCCACAGCACTGCAGAAACCAAATGGAAAACAAGCCTGTCAAACAAACAAAAAGCCAAGCTCCGTTGGTGCTTTAGAAGCAGGTGCCTGAGCAGACCAGTGACGCTCAATCATGCCTGCACTTAAAACCACCTTGGGAGCTTTAAAAGTTACTGAGGTCCTGGGCTGGGGATATGGCTCAGTTGGTAGAGTTCTTGCCTCACATGCACAAGGCCCTGGGTTTAAATCCTCAGCACTGCCCCCTCCCCCTCAAAAAAGTTACTGAAGTCCTGGTCCTGTCCTCAAAGATTGTGGTGTGATTGGTCTGGGTTGTGGCTTCCTTGTAGAGCTTTTAAAAGACTTCTGGATGATTCTAACACATCACCAGGACTGAAAACCACCGCTTCCAACTCCTTCTCCATCTATTACTTAATCCCTAATAGATCCCAGAAGGCTGTTTGTGGCCCCTCCCACTCTTGCCATGACACCCCCTCCCCAGGTGAAGTTAGTGTGAGCAGGGTGTAGGTTCAAGCTGTTCCTTCTTCCTTTTTATAAGCCTCATTGTTTTTTCTTCCGTGAAAAATGTTAGGACATGTTTTTCAGGTTCTGGTCAGGTTAAATGTGATGATGGCGTATGTTATCTATCTTAAGGCTTGACCTATGACAAACATCCTTGTTCATTTTTCTTCTCCCCTTTCCTAATACTTTATAGTCAGTAACTGCTTTTTTTTTTTTTTTTTTTTTTTTAGTGAATTAAGATTCTAGATAACATAACATGTATTACTCTACCTTAAAAACTACTGATTAGACTCTGGTTGAGGAGGTAGGATGCTTACACGTAAAATTGAACAGTCCTAGGTGAGGGCAGATTTGACTGGGTAGACAAGCTGTGTGTGAATTGCTGGAAAGGAAGGTCTGGTCTAGAGGGACCACTTGAGCCTGCCATTGGGGATACAGGGGTGACATTTGTTTGTTAGTGCTAACAGTGGGACTCTGGGGATTTCTTAAGGAGGGATTTTGGTTTACCTGTCGAAATCCTGGACTGAACCAATAATGCTCTTCACCTAAGATCTCCCCTAGAAATTATCCCCTAATGTTCTTTTAGGCACTCAGTTTCCATCTCTAACGCACCTTGTCCTTTGCCAGGTCTGTGTGGAGGGCAATATTGCAAGTGGGAAGACCACATGCCTGGAGTTCTTCTCCAACACGACAGACATCGAGGTAAGGCATCCACACAGGGTTCTAAGGAGCTTGAAAAGCCTTGATGGGATGGTTTATAGGGGGCGTGGCCCACCCTGTCTGTGGAAATATAATGCAAGTCACAAGTGCAAGCCATGTACTTAATTTGACATTTCTAATAGCCTCATTTAAAAAAGGCTGGCGGGAGGCGGAGGGGCAGCTGAGGATTTAGTTCCGTGTAGAGTGCTTGCCTGATATGTGTATGACCCTGGGTTTAATTCCCAGCACTGCAGAAATGAACAAATCAACCAAACCAACAAACAAAAAGAGAACATTTAAAGAAAAAATATTACAAATATTATCATGTCAACATGTAATCAGTATAAAATCATCAATGAGCTATTTTGCCTTCTATTATCATACTAAATCCTTGGAATCTAGTATGCATTTTATACCTGATAGCATCTTTCTCTCTCTCTCTTTAAATTTTTAGTTGTAGATGGACACAATATTTTTATTTATTTATTTATTTATTTATTTATTTTATGCGATGCTGAGGATTGAACCTGGTGCCTCACAGTTTCGCAGCAAGCACTCTACTACTGAGCCACAACCTCAGACCCACTAGTAGCATCTCTTAGTTTGGACTACAAATAATTCCCAACTTATGATGGTTCAACTTAAAATTTTTGACTTTACAGTGGTGTAAAAGCAGTATGCATTCAGTAGAAACTACTATGATGCTCATAGTATGTAGTTGGTAGATTAGTTGTAAATGCATTTTCAACTTGGGATAGTTCCAAGTTGAGGTAGGTTTATTGGAGCATAACTCCATTGTAAATTGAGGAGCATCTGTAGTCAGATTTCAAAGTTGTAATAGACTCACCTGGCTCATGGCTGATGTTTTGGACAGTGCGGGTAGGTATAGACCTCCCACCATGTGGTAAGGAAAAGAGTGTATATGTGAAAGAAGAAAAGTCAGGCTATTGTGTAGGGTTAGAATATTACAATGTGAGATGTGGGATATCAGGGTCCAAGCAGGAGAGGATTGGTATGTATAACCAGGTAATATAATTTCTAGTTCATTGAAAGCCCAGTGTCTAAAAATAACCTCATAGATGTTTAAGAATCATCTCTACACAAAGAACCTGGTCCTTCCTCCTCATTCTAGATTTTAGTGGTATAATCATTTCTGTTTATAGCCCCTTTTTGTTATAGGTTAAGTGTCTGTTATCTGAAATGCTTGTGATCAAAAGTGTTTCAGATTTGGGATTTTTTTTTTTCAGATTTGGAATATTTGCATATGTATAATGAAGTATTTTGGGCACGAGACCCAAGTGTTAACACAAAATTCATTTTCATCTTATATACATTTTATACACATAGAAGGTAGTTTTCTGCAATATCTTTAGTGTGTCTGTATTCTGTAATCTGTCATGTGAGGTCAAGTGTGGACTCTCCCACTCATGACATCATGTTGTTGCACAGAGAATTTTGGATTTTGGAGCATTTTGGACTTTAGATTTTCAGAATAGGATGTTCAAACTGTACCCCAGATCTTACAATTTTCATACCATTGTAGTACTTTTCTCTCCTTCCTTCCTTTTCCTGTTTTGACTTCTATTAAAAACTTGTGTGGTTTGATAAATAGACATTATATAGCCCTGGTCTTGCTTGTGCTTATGTGCTGCTGGGCAGAGATGCGTTGCTATAGCAGGTCCAAGACTGCTGTCATTAGGCCTGCTTGCAAGGTTGACCCTTGGCTAGCATATAGGAATGTAGGTCTTGGGAGGATTTCTACCATTCTTAACTGATGGGAGTGGCTCTCTGTGCCTAAACTCTGCAAGCAATATTTTTTATGTTGAACGTCTGTTTTCTTCTTGGAAACTTGATATTTTGGTATGTACCAACATGTGTCAGGCGGTGTTTGCCTGTTTGATTGAGCATCACTGAAAGCCATGAAGTCCTAGATTCAGGTCAGCTTCCCTGGTAGACAACATTTTTTTTTTTTTTTTTAAAGAGTGAGAGAGAATGAGAGAGGGGGAGAGAGAGAGAGAATTTTAATATTTATTTTTTAGTATTTGGCGGATACAACATCTTTGTTTGTATGTGGTGCTGAGGATCGAACCCGGGCCGTGCGCATGCCAGGCGAGCGCGCTACCACTTGAGCCACATCCCCAGGCCCTAGACAACATTTTTTAATGAGCTATGATAGCTCATTGCTGGGGGAATGAAGTGAGTCCTATGTGACTACACTGGGTGAAGACACTTGTAACCTTATGCCTCACTTCTCCCCAGGTACCTTTTCCCTTTGCTGATTTTGCTCTGTATCTTTTCATGGTAATAAATCAGCTGTGGGTTTTGTATGCTTTGTCTCCTGGATTATCAAACCTGGGAGAAAAGAGGGTCTTGGGAACTCCCCACATCTACCTGGGGTATAACTTTCAATGGCACTTTAGAAGTACTTGTATTCTCATTGAAGACCTTGGAACCAGTCAATGACTGTCAATGACAGTTAATATTTATCTGATGAGTATACTACTGTATCCAGGCACACATTAAATGTTCATCATATTATCTAATTGATCAAATCTTTACCTGAGTAGTTCTGTAGTTGTAAATGATATGATCAATTGGCCTATAAATTTACATGGTATGATGGCTAGTTTTAGCAGTCAGCTTGACTGGATTAAAGAATATAGTAGTCTCCCCATCCCTTATATGTGGTTTTAGTTACCTGGGGTCAACCAGTCTGAAAATATTAAATGGAAAATTCTAAAAATGAACAATTTATAAGATTTAAATGGCATGTTGTAGTGGGAAGTACTCACTGAAATCTAATGCCATTCTACTCCATCCCAATCAGCATGTGAATCATCCTTTTTCTCGGTGTATCTACATTGTATACACTACCCTCCTGTTAACTTAGTAGCCATCTCAGTTATCAGATAAGCTGTAATTGTATCACACTACTTGTGTTTAATTTACCCTTATTTTACTTAATGATGATTCCAAGGTGCAAGAGTAATATTCTGGCAATTTTATTATAGTATATTCTTATCATTGTTCTATTTTAATATTAGTTACTGTGCCTAGTTTATAAATTAAACTTTAGGTATGTGTGCATAGGAAAAAAAGTAGTATGTGTAGGGTTTGGTACTATCTGCAGTTTCAGGCCATCCACTGGGGGTCTTGGAACATATCCTTCATGAATCGTGATGGTGAGGGGATACTGGAGACAACTGTACCTAGAGAACTGATAGATCATTATTTCTGGATGTGTCTAGGAGGGTATTTTCAGAGGAGATCGGTGTATGAGTTGGTGGACTGAGTGGGGAAGATCTACTCTCAATGTGGACAGCAGCATGCCATTGGCTATCCAGAGACCTAGATAGAACAAAAAAGAGAAAAGAATTTTCCCTCTCCTAGAGCTGGGATACTCCTCCTCCTAATCTTGGACATCAGAGCTCCAGGTTCTCCAGCCTTGGGACTTCAGGACTTAGACCAGAGGCCCCTGGATTTGGGGCCTTCAGCCTCAAAATGTGAATTACACCATTGGCTTCTCTGGTTCTGGGCTTCAGACCTAGACCGAGCCACGCTACCAGCATCCCTGGGTCTCCAGCTTGGAGACGACGGGTAGTGTGACAGAGTTCTCAGCCTCCATAATCACCTGAGCCAATTTCCCTAATTAATTTCTCTCATGTTGTAATTTTATATTTATCCTATTGGCCTGTCTCTCTAGAGAACCTTTACTGATATACATGACTAGTATGTGGACGGTCAGGTCCCAGCTCAAACTCTCTGGCTGCAGGGCCATAACCTTGTTTGTTTCTTCTGTGGCATGAAGAGCTTGGTTGACATGAGGGGGACCACTCACCCTTCAGATATCAGCTGGTCTTGGTTGTTCTCAGATCCTGTCTGGAAGTTACAGGAGGCGGCATCTAGATGGAGTTGTGGCCTGAGAGAAGGTTGCTTAGCTGTTTTGTCTTCCCCCAGCCACCCAGATCTTGACAGTGCTGACTCTCCTTTCAGACTTACGTGCTCTCACAAAGCTCAGAACTAGGGAACAGCAGCTCTGATGTGATCTTTTCTTTCTTTCCAGGTGTTAATGGAGCCCGTGTCCAAGTGGAGAAATGTCCGTGGCCATAATCCCCTGGTGAGTGGCTTATTTCTCGTACAAACTGCCAGCTTCCCCTTCAGTGCCTGGGAGTGGTGATGCTGACACTTGAGCCTGTTACAGCTGTTAGCCGAGTTGGAGGAGAACAGGAGGAACAAGCAGAAAATGGTGGCATGTTGGTTTTCTAAGTTTAAAGATCTCTGAGGCCTGGGTGGGTGTGCACAGAGCCCAGGAACTTCCTATCTGAAGTGGCTGTTAGAAGCCAAGTCTCTTTGGACCTACCCCTCCCCACCCCACTTCCAGGACCTGCTTCTAAGTGACCAGGTTCCTTGGTGAACCCCGATTTGAGTTTGTGTTTGGCAACATCTGGTAATGGTGTGCTCTGGCTCACCCTGAAGCCACCTGTCTGCTCTCCCAGATGGACCTAGAAAGCAGAGTCTATGGTGTGCATGTTCCCCTTCCTCCTTCCCTATTCAGAAGGTTGTACTCTGCCTGCTTGTAAGAGATAGCTAGAATTTGGGTCCTACCTGAGAGGGCTTGAGAAGGGGATGTTGGTTCTGGGCTTCCACTTCATGACAGGGATAATGAGTTTCATTTTTTAGCCGAGAAAACTGAAGCTGAAATAGATTGTCCAAGGTCACACAGTGGCATATTGACTATGTAGGTTTGAACCTTAGACTTGGAAGCCTGTTCTTTCCCTTCCTTTTTAGCAATGCAGGACATTTCCTTGTCTGGTTCATTAGACCCTGGGTTCTACTGCAGGCAGGGCCAGTGTCTGTTTTGTCACTGTTATTTATTAGAACATAGTTACACTGCCTAGCCCTTAATAGGTGCGTGATCATTCATTCATACAGCCAATATTTATTGCATCCCCCCACTTCAAAGCCCCTGTTCTCCTGGCCCAATATTTCAGAGTGGGGAGGTAGGAGACAGTCAAATACAGAATGTAGTGGGTGGTGATAGGAGCCATGAAGAAAACTAAAGAGGTGAAAAGATGTTATTTAAATAAGGCAAAAGCTGTCAGAGTCTTTGAATAAAGAATCCCACAGAGATGGAAAAGAATTTCACCTGTGTGCATGTGGGAGAAGCTGGAATGCCAGTCATCTTTGTGTGTAACAAAGAACCTTCAGAAACATTCATATTCTCTAGAAGTCAGGGAGGACCAGTGCTTGATTATAAAGTAAGACAGCTTGAGTTGCAGATTACAGGGGATACATCACAGGGCAGAATCATAGTCTCAGGGCAGGGTGTCCTTGGTACAAATAGCATTTTCAGTGAGAGTATTATAATAAGAAATAACAACATGATTATATAGTTGTACACAAGTTTCCATTCTGGACAGATGAGCAAGATCAGTGCTGTGAGAAGTGTTGGTTCATCACTCTGATTGGCTCTCTGTTGCAGAAAGGTGTCTGTTGCTGCAGTTGTCTGGCTCCTGACTTTTCTGAGACTTTCTTTCATCTGCAGTTAGGAGGGTCTGCGGTTTTCTGCTCAGAGTACTGGAGTGTCATGAGTTTGTATCACAAAAGTTTTAAAAATAAATAAATGAGTAGAATAAGATTATTAGTGAGCAGACTATGAAGTGTGACGTGTCTTGTGTCTGCAGGCCACTGAGAGATTTGGGGTGGGTGAACTTCTCTGTCAGATGGCAAAGCCAGGGAAACACATTTCTGATAAGGCTGACATTTGAGCAGAGACCTAAACATAAGGGAAGGGGTAGTCACCTGGAGGAAGAGTGTTCCAAAGGAAGAATGGCAGGTGCAAAGTCCCTGAGATGGTCATGTTTGCAGAACACTAAGAAGTTCATGCAGTGGAAGCTGACTGGCTAGAGGAAAAATGGTAGGAGCTGAAAGAGGATAGCAGTGATTCTCTAGGCCCCCAGGAGCCATGATGAGAGTTTGGATTTCATTCTGAATGCAACATGAAGTCCCTGGAAGATTCTTGAGTAGGGAGGTGTTGGGAATAGGCTCATTTTGGCTGTTGGATGGAGAACAGACTACAGGGGACTCAAAGAACATATATTGAGCGACTGAATGCATGTTCCCTAGGGAACATCCCAGCCCAGCTATTACTAGCTGTTCTGTAATTGCTTTAGTGTCTTTGTCCACCCTATTCTCCAGACTGTGACCATAACTGGATTCCTTTTGGCCCCTGTCCGGCCCCATGTAGATTTTTGAGATGACTTTCAGTGACTGGTAGACCAGGGTCCTATAGATGCCACTTTGATGTAATGTGTTGCATTCTGCTTTTTGCAGGGTCTGATGTACCAAGATGCCTGTCGATGGGGTCTCACACTGCAGACATACGTGCAGCTTACCATGTTGGACCGGCACACTTGTCCTCAGGTATGTTTCACACACTCAGTTCCAACCTTGTCAAACAAAATTTTCTTCAAATTAGAGGTATGTGATTGCCAGAAAGGAACTCTCACAAGGAAGCCCAGCTGGATCTTTAGTGCTGCATAGCTTTCTCTGCCTGGGGCAAGGTTTTCTGTCCCTGTAGCTTTCTGAAGACCAACCATCAGGATCCTCCACCCACCAACTTGTGACCTCAGGATGGCTGCCCCTGTGCCATCCTGAGGTCACACTTTGCATGATCTAGTGGGTCCACTACTGGACTCAACAGCATTTAATTCACTTCTCAAAGTGTGGTTCCTGGACCGGCAGCAGCACCATCACCTGGGAACTTGTTAGAAATGCACATTTTTCTGGTCCCATCCCAGATCTGCTGAATCAGAAATTCTGAGGATGAAACCCAGAAATCTGTATTTTATCAAGCCACCCATATGTTTGGAATGCATGCTTTATGTTGCACTGATCTAACCTTCGTAGGGTCTGGCTTTTAGTTCAGATTCTTGAGGGAAAGGATCTGATTATTTTAGCATGGGTCAAATGGTCTTTAGTCAGGTGTTGGGGCAAGAGCACAGAACAAGTAGGTTGCTTAAGGCCCTCTATCAGCAGGGACCTGACTAGGGATCGATTCTCTTAGAAAATAGGGTGGATTGGGAGACCCTGATTGACACCTGTGGGTCAAAGCTATCAGCACAACCTGAGATATCAGTGTTAGAGGCTCTCCATGAAGGGGACAAGATATCCCCAGAGCCAGTTATGTTAGTACAGTGACTGGGCTGGGCAGTTTGATCTAGATCAGGGTACTGTCAGGTATAGTTATCATTCTTCTATTGACAGAGATCTGCACCTTCTATTTTATTTTTATTTTTTTGGTGTGTGTGGTACTGGGGATTGAACTCAGGGTCTTGTACATACTAGGTAAGCTTTGTATTATTGAGCTATGTCCATGACTCTTTTTGTTTTATTTTAAGACAGCATCTCACTAATAAGGCCCAGGCTGACCTTGAAGTTTGGTGGGATTAAAGGCATGCACCATCATGTCTAACTGATCTGTTTCTTAAAATTGGAAGATATAAGCAGAACCTTTTTGACAACTATGAGCTTCTTCCCAGTTGTCAAATCAGAGGAAATGTAGTCAGTGCTTTTCCCCTTGGCTTATCCCACTTTTCCCAAGTAGGCACTCAATTGCAAACTCAAATTGTATATAATAATATAAGAATGTAATGAGACACAGGTGGCAATCTGCTAAATCTGTCCAGAGACAGAAAAAACTGGACAGACTAGGGAGAATGAGCAGAAGGAGAGAGGTGACTAAATGGGGAGCCAGGGAAAGATGGGCAGCAGTGCTGCAAGTTCAGAGAGGATGGAGGGAAAGATAGACAAGCAGGGAGAAGGCATAGGTGATTCCCTAGTTTCAGCTTTGAATGTGTCTTTGATTTGCTGGCCAAGGGCCCATGGGTGTCATGGGCCATGACAAATGAAAACAGTGTTTGTCCACTTGGCATCAAAGGTAAGGGCCTCTCCTGCTTCCTGAAGGGACGGTGTGGACAAAGGGAAAGGTTGTGCGTTGAGTGCTCTGTGATGTCTGGTCATTCCCTTCCCTGCCAGGCACAGCCCTTCCCAGTTTCCACAGGCAGAGCTCCAGAATGCCGCCCCCATTCCAGCCCTCTGGGGGCTCTACCTCATTCACACAGGTCCTTTGCATAACCAAATCCATCTTATTTAGGTCCTTAGTCACTATATCATGCTTCGAGAGATGGCATGTGGCAGTTTTTCCAGTACCTCCCCACCTTCTAGTTGAGTTTCCTATCAAAAGAGGCTGCTACTTTCAATTCACAATAGCTAAGTCATGGAACCAACCGAGGTGCCCTTCAGCAGATGAATGGATAAAGAAAATGTGATATATATGCATAATGAAATATCACTCAGTCATAAAGAAAAATGAAATTATGGCACTTGTCAGTAAATGGATGGAACTGGAGAATATTATGCTAAGTGAGATAAGACAATCCCCCAAATCTAAAGGCTGAATGTTCTCTCTGATATGCGGATACTAACCCATAATAGGTGATGGTACGGGGTGGAGAGGAGGTTCACTGGATCAGACCAGGTGGAGTGGGGGGAAGGTTGGGAGCATGGGAATGGAAAGGACAATAGAATGAATTGGACATAACTTTCCCATGTTCATATCTGAATACACGACCAGTGTAACTGCACATCATGTACAGTCACAAATGGGAAGTTATGCTCTATGTATATATGATATGTCAAAATACACTCTACTGTCATGTATAACTAAAAAGAACAACAACAACAACAACAAAAGAGGCTGCTGCTGTTGAGCCCTCAGTCCCCCTTGCCAGGCTGTCCTGGCAGCTTGGGGTGGGATGTGTGTGGGCGGACCTCTTGATTTTTATGTTCAGCAAAGTTGGGGGATGTGACTGGGGCTGGGTACAAGTTTTTCAAGGTCTTCTGACCCCCTTCTCTTTGCCTGAGTTAGCAAGTCACCTTTTCCCCCCTTTAGATGATGCCTGTTCGACTGATGGAGAGGTCACTTCACAGTGCAAGATACATTTTTGTGGAAAACCTCTATCGAAGGTACCATAGTTTGCATTATTGATACTTTGTTATACCATTGACTTTTTGAAAGGAGATTGTAACTTGTTCATTTAGTTGACAGATGTGGAGCGCCGGCTGGGTGGTGCCAGTTATGTTGCCACAGTAATGCTGTTAACAAATGACCCCATCCCTCTGTGGCCACAGCTACCTGCCTTTGTTACCAGGCCAGCGAGGGTGGTCTGCTGGGTGGCCGTCTTACCTTGACAGGGCTCAGTTGGACATCTGGGGACTGGCTGGCCTGGATGGTCCCTGGGGCACTCGTCTCTCGTGCTCATCATCCTCCCTTTGGGATCATGCTCTGAGGAGTAAGTTCAGCATGAGCTATCATGCTGCAGCAGCCAGCAGCCCTGTGGTCTACAGAGAGTCTGCTGTCTCTGTGCCTCTGCCCTTTCCCCCAGGGGTGCTGCCCTCTGGCTTCCTTGGGGCCTCTCTGGACCTTGGGCGTCATGAGAGCGAAAGCCAGCCCTGAAAGCCGTCTTCAGGACCCAGGGCTCGCTGTGCAGGATTTCCTGTTTCCTGCACCTGGCCTGTGGTTTCGTCATTTCACATTTGTTGCCTCAGGTTTTGGTGGTTGGGGTTTTGTTATCTTTGTTTTAAAGTTTTCTGGGTTTATTCCTAGGCCCGGAGTCAGGCAGTCGTAGGCCAGAGTTCTTTTCTCTTGAGTGAAAAATATTTTGGGCCAGAGCTAAAGGGATGAATGGGAGGAAGAATAGAATTTGGGCTTTCTTTGTGGTCACTCTTCCTCTCGCGCCAACTCCCTGTATGTTCACCCGCTCTAGTATCCTTACTGAAGTCTGCTCATGGCTGGCCTTGCTCTTCTCTTGGGCACCACACCCTCCTGCAGCTCTGTCAAGCTCAGCTCTGCTCCTTAGAGGGCATGAAGGTCATCTCAGGGACAAGGGAAGAATGCTCTTCTCTAGTCTCTGCCAGGCCCTGCCATTTGGTCCCCAAGGCAGGGCTGCTTATGCCCTACTCTCCCGGAGCACCTCCCTTAAACCTTTCCCAGCTTCTTAACCTCCTCTGTCATCACCCCACAGGACTGGAGTGGTCCATGGCTGGGCAGGGCCAGCCCTTACCATGACCTGCCAGGACCTTCATCCTCCTTCAGTCAGAAGTGCCCCTCACTGCCTGGGTGTGTCCACTCTCCCCGTGGCCAGCCTTGCCACACCCAGGGCTGTGTGGGTCCCACGCTTAGCAAGTCTACACTCCACTGGTGGAGGGGTGCGAGGGTAGGAATTCTTCTCCTGGACCTTCAGGAACCCCTGACTACTGCTGGGCTTGTGACCTTCAGTGGCTACCACTCCTGTCCCTTCCCTGTCTGTGTCCTCTTGGGCAGAGGACACTGTGGGAATGCCAGGAGCAGATGACAAGGTCTCTTTCCCACTCCTTGGCTTTTTCTTCTTTCCCTTTTTTGTTGCTTTTCTTTCCTTTTAGGTTAACATTTATTTAAAATTTGTAATAATGCTCCCACCCCTACTTCCTGATTTGAGAACATGTTAAAATTTGGAAAATGCAGACAGATATAAGAAAAACAATAGAAGTCTCCCATAGTTCCACAGTTCAGAGAAAAACCCTGTTAACCTTTTGGTATTTTTCTTTCCAATTGTTTTAAAATTTTTAAACTAATGTGATTATACATAATATTGGTTCATTTTGAAATAGTCGTACAAGCATGGAATATAATTTGTTCCAATTCAGTCCCCTGTACTTCCCCTTTCCCTCCTCTCCTCCCTCCTCCTATTCCCTTTCCTTTGTTATACCAGTCTTCTTCTATTTATTTATAGTTTTTTTAAAATAGTGCATTATAATATACATAAAGGTGAAATTCTCTGTGTGGGGGTGTGTGTAAATGGGAGTTTGGTCATTTCATTCCACTGTTCTTCCTTTTTCCCATCCCTCCTTCCTCTCCCTCAATCCCCTTCCTCTACTTCACTCATCTTTCTTCTGTTTTCACGGGATTTCCTCTACCCTTTATTTTTACTTATTTTGGTGTAGCTTCTACACATGAGAGAAAACATTCCACCCTTAACTTTCTGCGTCTGGCTTATTTCATTTAGCATGATGTTCTCCAGTTCCATCCAATTTACTAGCAAATGCCATAATTTCATTCTTCTTTATGGCTGAGTAAAACTCCATTGGGTATTTTATATACCCTGTTTTATATACTACAGCCAGATGGGCATTTCTGCCCGTTTTCTTTATGCATTTACCTGTTAATGGGCATCTGGGCTGGTTCCATAGCCTGGCTGTTATGAATTGTGCTGCTGTAAATATTGATATGACTGTCCTTATAGTGTGCTGATTTTAGATCTTTTGGATAAATACCAACGAGTGGGATAGCTGGGTCATACGGTAGTTCCATTCCTAGTTTTTTGAGGACTCTCCATACTGCTTTCCATAGTGGTTGTACTAATTTATAGTCCTACCAACAATGAGTGAGTGTACTTCCCCCCCACATCCTCCTCAGAGTTTATTTTTATTTGTATTCTTAATAATTGTCATCCTGATTGGACTGAGATGAAATCTCAGTGTAGTTTTTATTCGCATTTCCCTGATGGCTAGAGATGTTGAACATTTTTTCATGTATTTGTTGGCCATTTGTATTTTTGAGAAGTGTATATTTAGTTCTTTTGCTTATTTATAAATTGGGTTATTTGTTTCTTTGGTGTTAAGCTTTTTGAGTTCTTTACATATTCTGGATATTAATTCCCTAGCAGATGAGTAGCTGGCAGAGGTCTTCTCCCTTTCTGTAGACTCTCTCTTCATGCTCTTGATTGTTTTCTTTGCTGTGCAGTAGATGAATATTTTTGAAAATTTGCTTGGGTCATACTGTATATGCAGTTTTATGTTCTGCTATTTTCATTGAACATCAGATTCTGAGCATTTTTCACGTCATTAAATATTATTTTATAACATCATTTTTCAGTTACTGCACAGTTTATTTATATAGACAAACCAAGATTTAGTTGTCCATTATTTTAAATAGTGCGGCAGTGAGCACCATGGTTATTTTCACAAAATAAATTTCTAGGAGTGAAATTGACATGCTTATTCACCTCCCAGCCTGAATGCTGTCTCTGTTGTCAGGGGGCATGTTTTAAAGTGACTTTCTCTGTTTGGAGCTCAAATTTCAAATGACTCTCCCGTCTTTCATTCCTGGGGTCTTTCTACCTCATATCACAAACCATTCCCTGGGGATGGGAGGTCAGGAGCGCCCAGGTCCCAGCATCACTTCATGTTCAGCATTTTGCGGACTCCACTGTTCTTGGTGACACCCTTTCAACAAAAGCCATCCCCAGATCGTTTTGGGGGAAATGGCACACAGCCCAGAAACTTTCTCATGGGTGAATAAAACCAATGCAACTCTTGCTCCAGTGGGAAGATGCCCGAAGTGGACTATGTGATTCTCTCTGAATGGTTTGACTGGATCGTGAGGAACATTGATGTGTCCGTTGATCTGATAGGTAAGACAGCCCCTCCCCCGCCTTCTGGCCTGTCCATTCCCCTGGGCCCAGTGAGGATGTGCTTGGTGGGGGATGGGGCGCTGGCCAATGGTGATTTTTTTTTTCTCCCTATATTTATTTAGCCTTCTTCCTCTCAAAGAGCAGACAGAATCTGGGGGCTTCTGGTTGCTCATGGAGAAGAATCTGACCCTTGGTTCCTTAAGCTGTCCTCCCCTGGGTCAGTTGCTTTCAGACCTGGATCCATTGTGATTTCATGGATTTTCTGGGTTGTGAAGAGGGGGAGGGACAGAAGCTGGACATTTACTGAGGCCTGCCTTGTGCCAGGTCCTGTGCCAAGCTCTGTTTGTAGATAGAATTATATTCAGCTCACAGTAACCCTTTGGGGCTGATGACAGGGAAAGGGAACAGAATTGGGGGAATGAGGGTCAAGGTGCCTCTTTGGTTACACAGCTGGCCAGTGGCAAAGCTGAGAGCTGGCTCTGGTCTGTGTCTGGCTCAGGGAGGTGATAGTTCCTTTCCACCTGACCTGTGTGCTTCCTTCCCCCTCCCCTTGTCTTGCTCCCAAGCCATGAGCAGAGCAATCAAAGCCATGTATGTTTTTTGTCCTCAGTTTATCTCCGGACCACTCCTGAGACCTGTTATGAGAGATTAAAGAAGAGGTGCAGGCAAGAGGAGAAGGTCATTCCGCTGGTAAGAGAGCAGAGACCTCCATGGCAGCCTGGCTCCCTCTCCCTGGCCCACCTCCTGTGATATCATTGTGCAGTTGTCTGCTGAGAGATAAACAGGAACAGGAACAGATTAGGGAGGGGGTGAGCTCTGACTTCCTCTGTGGCTGGAGCTTTTGGAGATTCAGAGCTGCTTCATTTGGTCCTTGACACCTCCCTCTCCTTCCTGCTGTGGCAAGCCCAGGGCTTTCCCATCAGCCTGCTGAGGGTTGCCTGGCTCTGTGCTCTCTGGATCCTCACTAGAATATGAGTTTGGGGAGGACAGGACCGAGCCTTTTGCTCCCTGCTGCATCCAGTGCCTAACACAATGCCTGATGGAAATAGTGCTCAGTGCTTGGTGGTGCTCGCTTAGTACAGGGATGCTTTGCCCTTCTGGGGTCTGGCCTCGGGCCATGGCAACTCTAATTGGGCCATTATAACAGGTTTGGACTATTCTCCTTCCCTGGGTCTTCACTCCCCACATCTCCCTCTAAAATCAGCCTCCAGGCTGCTACATGGGTGATATTTCCAATAACAGGACCCTATTCATGTGATTCCCTAGCCTGAGCTCCTCCAAGGTGTCACTGCTGTCTAGAAGTCCCTGCTTTGGAGCACAGTACATGAGATCTCACATCACCCTGCCCCATTTGCCTCTCTGGTGTTGTCTCCCTCCACTTCTGCTTTCCATGCTCTGACCACAAGGAACGGGTTGTGACTAGGGGCGTGTGCCAGGCACACACATACACACCACGATTAGGCAAGTGTACCTTTACAGAATGTTTTCCTTTGCCTTTCAAGTTCTTCTCAGATGTCCTGTCCTTCAGCAAGCCTTCCCTGAACTTCCCCCATCGTATTCTCCCTGCCCATAGGCTTACTGCAACCACAGCCCATAGGAGGACATACTGATAGTATTTGTTTATGCCTTTGTTTCCCAACCCTTAAAAAACCCTTATTCCCTCTGTGTCCTCAGCATGTGTCCTGACGCCTAGTAGCTGCTCAGTTAATATTGAACTGAACACCTTTTGTGAGCAGCTGCACCTGCAGATACACAGAGGCTGGGCAAGCATTTAGTGGGAGCTGTGAATTCAGGATGACTGGACTGGGTGCCCTAAAAGGGCTGTCCAACTCCTGAAGCCCTGCTCAGCCTGGGTTTACCCTGGACCAGCAAGGAACATTCCAGTGTTGAGGCTGGTGCATGGTTTTGGGCAGCTCCTTTGAGATCCTAGAGGCAGGAGTGATTGGAGGTCGAGAGTGCACTGGAGCAGGCCTCAGATGGGCCATGCTACGTCGGGGCATAGCAGCTCTGTGTGATGACCCAGATGTTCCCAAGAAATGCTATCAGGAGTCCCTACAAAACATTACCCATGTGATTGAACAGTTTTTGACAAGGTCTGTGGGGCAGATCTGGTTTCTGGTACCCAGGGAGAGCTCAGTGGTAGATGAAGAGGTGGCTGCATGGCTTACTTGAGAGCTTCTGGGATAGCACTTGAGGAGGTCCCCAGGGGTGGCCAGCACACACTGGCTGAGAAGTGACAGTGCGACACATGGGTAGAGGCATGGGTGGCTTCAGTCAGCATCTGTACCCTTTCCCCTTGGGTTGCATCTCAGCAGACGTTCTGCCAAGATGGTGGTCTTTATAGTCTGGAGAATCCCTCTGTGACGAGTGGTCTGGTGGGGTGGAATCAGCAACGGAGGGTCACAGTGCTTTTGGTGGCGAGCCAGAGAGGAGGATGCAGAGGTGCTCAGGGCTGGGACACCTGTCACTGAATGGCTGTGGACCCTCTCCCCCGGTGAGGCAGGGCAGGGTGGCTGCTGATGCTCTGACTGATGCTCAGGCCCGTGCACTCAGCACATGGCTGCGTTTATTGCTGCCCCCTGAGCCAGGTTGACTGTTGCCGTGTTCCTTTGTCCAAGTCACTGCCTTGTGACTTGAGCTTTCACTTGCTGGGACTCTTGGTGGGGGGCCTTTGCTCCCCGCTCTTCTCCTGACAGCCTGCACGTGTGTTTCCATGGCAGGAGTACCTGGGTGCTCTTCACCAGCTTTATGAGGAGTGGCTTATCACAGGAAGCCTTTTCCCTGCCGCCGCCCCTGTTTTGGTAAGTCCGTCTCCCTCACAGGGCAGGAGGCTCTTCCACAAGGAATGACCCGGGGAATGTCAGCCACTTTGTAGATCGGGGAAGGGCTGGGTCCTTCAAGCTCAAGGATTTGGGAGGAGGAAGATGGACGGTTAGAAAAGGCTTTCTCTCTCAGTCTGCATTTTTCAATGTGAAGTGACAGACCTGAGAAACCGTCTGTCCCAGTGCTCTTATAACTGGTGATTGCAGTAACATGTCACTTACCAGCATTGGCTGCAAAGAAACACCCCAGGTCCTGGGTTTGGACCTTTTGGGATGGTGGTCCCTCTGCTGTGACCTTCCTTCTTTAGTAGATGACATAGAGCTTCAGTTTATCATTGCTTGGTGACTTAAGTCATCAGAAGGAACATCAGTTGCTGTTCTGGGCTGTCACCTAGTGATGCCCTGAGGAGTCTGTGCACCCAGACTACTACCGTTTCTGAGCTCCTGAGTTGGCTTTTCATAGTAACCCTCTTTTCTCTTGCTGACATGTGCCATTTCTAACTGACACTGATGTGTCTGCCCCTCAGTGTTTCTCACGGTTCGTCCCCTGTGTTCTGATTTTCTGTTCCCGAATGTCTTTAGGCAGGCCAACAACTACGAAGGCTGCTCCACATACAGCAAGGGATCATGAGCTTTCATGCATGGCCTTGGACCACGAAGGCACTCATGGCTCTTGCAGGCATCTCCTTTGCTGCTGGCAAAAGAGAGATTATTTTGATGGATTTTTAAAGAAGTTTATGTTTTTCTCCTTTTAAAAAATTGGAATTTATAAAATGATAAGAAAAAAAATTATTCTTGATCTCACTGCACAGACAACTGTGGTAGATTCTTAGGTGAAAGTCTAGTTCAGAGGGCAGACTTCCCCAGAGCTGGGAATGTTTGACCCTCATCTTCCTTTCCCTCTCCCTGTGACCTTGGCTTCTCTGCCTTTCCCTGCCTCGCTCTGCCACCTCCTTCTTCCTGTAAGGGAGGACAGTGTCCAGCTCAGTGCAGCCCCATGACCTCTGTGTTTCATTTCCAGGTGATTGAGGCTGACCACAACATGGAGAAAATGCTAGAACTCTTCGAACAAAATCGGGCCCGGATATTAACTCCAGAGACTTGGAAGCATGGCCCATAGGTGGAAACGTCTGTAGGATCTTGTCAGGAAAAATTCTTACAGTAACCAAGTTAGCCGTTAGGAGCAGTTTGGAAAAATCTACTCTCAGGAGGGCCTTTTATCTGGCCAGATTTATTTTCCTAATGGTCTTTTCTCCCTGGCCAGTGTCTTCATCATGGGTAAATGAGAAGTTGGACTAGTGGTTTGTTTTTGTCGCCTCACATCTCCCCTGAAGCCCTCAGGACGGCACTTGCTGTGTGCTGGGTGTCTTGCTGGGCTCTGTACATTCAGACCACCAGGAGAGTGAGGTAGCAGCCTTATATCCCAACCAAGGAATATGATGCTGAGAGGTTAAGGGGCTTCCCAGGATCACGCAGCCAACGTGCATTAGAGTTGGCGCCATGCAGATTTTTAGCCTAGGCCGCTTTGTCCTAAGACCTGTCCCCCAGAGTCTGCCTTTCCTTGCCACAGACCCTTGCGACTTTGTGGGGAGAGCTGGCAGTGAGTGGAGCTGACCTCGTCTTGTTTGAGTAGTTCTCAAGGACCATCAGCAGTTCTTTACAACACTGCATTTTTTTACTTGAGCCCAGTGTTTGGTGGTTTCCCAGCATGAGGCTGTGACCCCTCAATCCCCTTGTCATCTGGACTTCCATGACCACAGAAGAATCACGTGTCATCTCATGATCAGTGCTCAGTCTCCTCTCTGAACCGCTGCCAGTTCCATTTAGGGAAATAGCATTGGGGGCCTGGCCACTTTGCCCTGTTCCAAGCTGGGGCCAGCCCTGGCTTCAAGGCTCTGTCACTCCCTCTTGTCCTTGTTGCCCTGGGAATTACTGACCATTTGTGGTCCAGGGAGAGAGAGAGAAGTGGCCTTAAGTCTTTTTTCTTTCTTTTTTTTTTTTTTAAAATTAGTTATACATGACAGTAGAATGCACTTATATACTTTGATGTATCATACATAGATGGGATATAATTTCTCATTTTGGCCTTAAGTCTTTTTGACTTAAGAAGAGTATGAAACCATCTCCATTGGTTCAGAAAACAACTTGGCCGAGCTATGGCCATGCACTGAAGGCACAGCTGCCTCCTGAACTGAGTGGGAAGCAAGAGAAAGGAGTGGGAAGCAAGAGAAAGGAAGAACATTCCCTTTGGGGCCAGTCTGGACTGGAAAATCAGGGTTAGTGGAGAAAGGCTCCTGACATCTGGGAGGTGGTCAGAGAGCATTGAGGAGACTGAATGCAAACAGGGGAAGGATTTTTGGGAGCTCAGGAGAAGCACAGCAGCTGTTGGCCTGTGCCCCACCCCCATGATGGAAACCTGGGCAAGCCTGTTCGCCTCTCAACAGGTGCCAGGTGCTCCTGGTGGTCCACGCACAGAGTGCCAAGGGGTCAAGGACACCAGTGTCTGGACCTTCCTGTTTGGACCAATTCTTGGGTTTTATCAGCAGGATAAATGACAGCAGCCAAGGTGGGCAGTGTCCATCAGCTCCTGTAGTCTAAATGCTGGTGATTAACCAGGAAACTAGGGAAGGCAGGAACCTTAGCTACCAGGGATCCTGACAGGTTGGGGCTGTCTTTGGGAATTTGTAAATGAGTAGTCCACTGTTTTCCCTTCAGCTCAATTTGAGCACCTGTTTTTGGAAGAAATGTGATTTTTCTCTTGCTACATGGTAACCAATAAATCCTTGACTTAGACCCTGATGTTAATTTTCAAGTGTTTCCTGTGCCAGCAACTTCACTTCCTTGTAGGATCCTTTTGCCAGCAGGATGTTTTTATTTTTTAAACACGGTGTTTCCTAATAAAGTGGTATGCATGGGTCCAGAAAGATCCCCCTGTCTCCCCCCCCCACACACACACCCCGGACGCCTTGGAGAGGAAGCTGTGTGATCTCTAGAGGGTGCAGCTGGTTGCAGAAACCTCCCAGCCTAGAGATCACACCTTAAATGAATGGAGCCAGTGAGCACAAGAGCCGCTGTCTCCTGTGGCAGGCAGGGGTCACAGAGTAGCTATAAATGCCACTACAAACCAGGGTCAGAAAAGAGCAGATGGCTTATGGCTCAAGGGGGCCTATTTCTTAGACCTGGGGTCCCTGCCTAGACCCTTCTAGGAATAGCTCGAAGGAGCATGGCAAGGACTGTCATCCCTGAAGAGCCAGAGTAAGTAGCCAGGACAGTGACATTCCAGACTTCTTGGGGTTACCGCATTCTCACTCAGGCTGGGGATCCCTGGGATGCTCCAACTCTTGTAAATATTTACTTAAATTCGTGAACAGCATATACATTTTATTTTATTTTATTTAAAAGTATTTATTTTTTAGTCGTAGGTGGACACAATGTCTTTATTTTACTTGATGTGGTGCTGAGGATTGAACCCAGTGCCTCACACATGCTAGGCGCACACTCTACCTCTGAGCCACACCCCAGCCCGCATATACATCTTCTTCCAGTTATATTTTTAGTGAAATAGTTCAATTTACATTTAAGCTTTTTGGTCTTAGTGTACAAGATATAATTAGAACCATTAAATATATTTGGTTCATGTATCATGTGATTAAAAAACAATATATAAATGTTTTTCGCATACACACACACAAGTATGTAGGCGGGTGATCCAGAGCCAGGTTGGTGGCTTTGTGGTCATCACGGTCCAGGCTCTTCCTTTCTGTTCCTGGTTCTGGGAGGTTCCACTTCCCAGTTCATGGCGTCCCTTCTCCAGGAGCGTAGCTGTTCAAGATGGCTGCTGGGCTCTTCTCTGGCCAGAGATGGCAACATAGCTGGCTTCTCCCCATTCACACAGATAATGACCTTTCCAAGGGAGAACTAAGATGTCAGGACTTTGCTAGAGGTCTCGGCGTGGGTGGGGGGAAGGTAGAAGGGAAGTCAACACCCGCAGAGTGGGTCACATGATCTGGCTTTGTGCCTAGTGCCCTTGGGGCCCCAAGTCCCCTCATCCTCACTTCTCTCTTCTGTAATGCCCTGGTCTCTGCCAGCCTCCCATGCTAGGTATAGCTCTGGGAGGAGTGAGACCGCCTTGTCCTTGTTCCTATGACACGAGTGAGTAAATGTCCTCTGAGAAACGCTATCACCCAGCTTGTTTTCATCTTTCAGTTTTTATCTTCTGCTTCTTTCTCTTACCTCTGAGCCCTTCTCCCTAGATGAGATGATCCCCCTGTCTGGGGACTATATCCAACAGAAAACTCTTCCTCAGAACTCATCCAGACTATTACCATCAGATCTGGGAAGGACAGTGATATTTGAAACGCAAAGCAGGTAAAAGATGTTGCTAAGCCCTGTCTGCCCTAGAGCATTGGTAAGCCTGGGACACCTCCGTTTTCCCTGAGCCCTGGGGTGGAGTGTGGGTCCTTACTTCAAATGCCTATGTGTCTGTGGAGTGAATAACATTCATCCCCTTGGCCTGTCCACCCTGATGAGTGGTCATTAAAACCACTCTTAGTAGTTATTAAAATAATTGCTGGGCTCTTGAAAATGTTGCCTGGTTGTCTGCTGTGGCACAGGATTGCTCACTGAAGACCCCATGACTGCTGGCACAGCCCCCTGCCCCCCAGTAATCCCAATCCCACAGCTCCTTGAGGCTGGGGTGAATTTTGTATTCTTCTGGTTTCCATAGATGGGAGCTTGGCCAAAGCTGTCATTAAACAGAAGTGCAGATAAAGCCCATCTCATGGAATCCAGAAGGTGTAGGCATTTACTGCTCTTCACAGAAGCTCTCTTGAATTTCTATATATCTTGACTCTGCTTCTTCAAGACTAGTGTATACCAGACGGGGCTGTTGTGATCAATAGCTCAGTGGTTCTCAAACTTTGGAATATCCCAGTCAAATGAGGGCTCATTAAGATGCAGACTGCTGGGTCTCACCTTCACAGTTTCTCATTCAGCTCATCAGGGATGGGTCTGAGAATCTGTTCTCTAGCAACTTTACAGACACTGAGCCTGCTGGTCCAGGAACTTCCCCTTTGAGAACCACCTCTCTAGCTTTACACTTTCTTGAATCAGACATCCAGGAATTCAAGGAAACCTTAGCATACCTGCCCTTCACCCTTCACCCTGGTTATCTTACCTGTCAAATGGGAGCATTGCTGCTCAGGGTTGTTGTGAGGCCCTGGACTAGGGCCTGGTGAGCAACAAGTGAGTTCAGCTCACATGCTGGAACAACTAGGCTGTGAGGCAGTTAATGGACTTGTTAACCATAGTAACTGACATTTCCCATCCTTGCAGCATGGATGCGTACCCTCCCACATCAATCAGGGAATATCTTGACCGACCTGTTTCTAACCTGGCCCTGCCTGACCAAGCCTGACCTTTGGGGCTGTATCTCTGAAAAGTGCTGCATGACCTTTCTGCAGTTACAGACCATGGGACAAGAAACTGACCTTTCTTTTCTTTTGAAAAATACTCCCATTTTTCACAGAGACTCTGATCCCAGTACCCAGCATTCTAGAGCATAAGAGGGAGGGCAGGCAGAACTGGGGTTGCTTCTCATGCCATGGTAGCCGACACCTTTTGTACTAAGGAGACTCTGGGGTTCCTTACACAATAAACTGTTGGTTTGCTAATCTGGTGTCACATTTCTTGGCAGACCTTCCTCTCCATGGGTCTCAGTGACCTTACACCCTGCCCTTTCCCTAATTCACGGAGCAAATTTATCTGTTTTCAGGGATGGGCAGAACTTGGCAGTTCCAGACTCATTTTAGGAAATGCTTAGAAAAATGAGCAGTGAACAATGAATCTTACCTTTTGAGAGCCCCTTAACTTTGTGGCTGGTGCCTGGGCTTTGGGGTCAGAACAGGAGCTGGGATCCCAGTTTCCCTGGTTACTGGCTCTGAGACCTTGGGCAGGTTACCTCGCCTCACTGGTCCTGTTTCCTCTCCTGGACACTGGAATTCTATTTCTTCCTTTGCAGGGAGTAGGGCTGCACAAACTAGGAAGGGTGAGTTAAATGAATAACAGAAATGGTTGCCTGACTCCTTCCAGCCCCTTCCCCTACTCTGTCGTTGGCTGCAGAGGCAACCAGCCTTTCTTGCATCCTCACTGGAAAATTGGAGGGGGAAGTTTTTGGTAGAGTACTCCACAGCCAAGGCAATGGATGCTGCAGTTATGTTTTCAAAACATGCGTCTTGTCAGGGTGATGGGGGAAACACCTGTATCCTTACCTGCTATATATTTACTGAATCCTGTGCCACAGGGTGAGCATCATAGCCACTGCCTGCCTCCCTAAAAGCCTGCAGTTTAGCTCCCCCATCTGGAAATAGCTGAGAAAACCTCATTTAAGGAAGGAGGGCACCAGCAGCCTCAGTGCCTCCTTCTGGTGAGGTACTGAATTAACTCTGTTATGATAGTATACCCTAGAGTTAATGATCAAACTAACCACCGCCCCCCCCCCCCAATTTTTTTTTTTTTTTTGGTGAAAAAATTTTTTTTCTCAGTGAAGTAGAACTATATAAAATCGACACACAAAAGCAACAGAGAAGTTACAATGGTAGATAAACCTATATTTTCAATAGTAATAAAGATGATTAAGTACTTTGGAATAGCTTTATTAAGAAAGATGCAAAATCATACAAGAAGATTGCCAGAATACTCCTGAAAGACCTAAATAAGACTTAAACCTTATCCATTCTTGGATAGGATGACCTAATATAAATACATTAATTCTTCCTAAACTAATTTATAAATTCAATGCAATCTTAATAAAACCACCCCAGACTATTTTATAGAGTTAGACATTTTATACTAAAGTTCATATATAAAAAACAAAACCATGCAGAAATCATGAAACCAATGAAAAGTAAAAACCATAATGTAAAACCTCAGCAATTAGGAACATGGTGCCGGCCTGTGAATAGACAAAAAGATGAGTAGGAGAACCTAGGAATAGAACCCAAGTACAGGCAGAAATTTAGTATATGATAATGGTGGCATTTCAAGTCAATGGGGTTAAGGTGGACTGTAATAAAATGGTGTTGAAATGATGGTAACCATTTGAAAAAAGACAAAAATAGATGCGTACCTCACTCCATACTCAGTGGTTAGGAGTCCGAAGGTCAAAAATGAAATCCATGGAAGCACCTGATGAAAACAACTGATCAAAATACCAGGGTCCTGATAGTCAAGGAAAATACTCAGGAGGAGATGAGGAAGATGAGCCAATGCTGTGCGAGATCTGGAGAGGCTCCTGGGGAGAGGAAGAATGTTGATGGAAACTGGTGAAATCTGAATAAGATTTGTAGTGCAGTGGACAATACTGTTTCAATAATTGATCAATGTTCTTTACCATTCCACTATGAGATGAGAACTTCAGAGGAAGCAGGGTAGGGGGACATAAAGAATTTGTATGATTTTGCAACTTGTCCTTAAATCTAAAATATGATAAAATAACTCCTTGAGAAATAAGAGCAGAGCACAACATTATAAATGTTATGTGTGTGTATTTTTTCCTAAGACTGGAAGGGATTGTACCAATGCGGTAACATTGGGTATCTTGGGTGGAAAGTGGTAACTTTTGCTTTTGTTTTCTTATTCATCTTACCTACTTTCTAAAATTTTCTTCTCAGTTGACGGTTTGTTGCCCCTTAGAAACAGTGGGAAGTGAGACAAGATGAAGTTTATCTTTCATGGAACTTATATTCCAGTGGAGGAAATGAAAATTGCATACATTAAAAATAAATCTTTGTTCAGAAAATTGAACTGTGAGGTGATGTCTAAGAGATATGATTGGTCAGAAAAGGCCTCTCAGAGAAGGGGATATTTCAGGTAAGATACGAATTACGAGAGAGAAGGCTGGGAGGGGGAGGGGGAGAGGGAACAGCCTATGCAGAGGCTTTGAGGCAGGGTCAGGCCTAGCATGTTTCAGAACCTGGAAGAAGCCAGAGCGGCTTGGCTGCAGTGACAAGGGGAAAGGGGCAGGGGATGAGGTCAGAGGGCAAGCGAGGGATGAGCCCGCAGGGCTTGGTATGGCCTTGGGCGCCCCTGGAGCAATCTGAGCAGATGAGGCTTATGATTGGACTTAGGTTTTAATGGAGTCCTCTGGCAACTGGGGGTGCACAGGCTGCAGGGAAATGAGGGCAGAACCAGGCAGGAGGCCAGGATCCTCCAGGGACTGGACTGAGAGGCAATGTTATTTTAAATGAATTACGGTCACTGTGGAAGGAGGAGGGCAGTGGACATATTTGGATTATGTTATAAAAGAGAGCTAGGGTTTGGATGAGGGACACGAGAGAGAAAGAAGAAAAGAGAAAAGTGAAACAAATTCTGCATGGAGCTCTAACGAGTGAGTAGATGGTGGATCACTTCCCTGGACAGGGAATGCTAGGGGGTGAGGAGCAGGCTTTCTGGGGGGAGCAAAAGTTCTGTTTAGGTTCAGGGAGAAATATGTTTTTTTTTGTTAATGGTCAGAAAATAATGAATAATGTACAATGATTAAATAAAAATAATTATCTTGCCTTTTTTGCCCCCGGAATCCTTGATCCAGATTTCTCTCCTAGGCTGCAGGTCAGACCCAGGACAAGGTGCCCAGGGGAACGATGCCCTGGAGGGGTTGCCATGTTTCTGGTAGGCTCGGCCTTTTTCTCCATTCCTTCTCCTGAGGTTGCTGACCTACTGTGTCTCCAGTCTTGCTCCTTCCTGATGTTTCTTTCCCTTGGATGGAAGCTCCCCTGGGGTCTGGCTCCCTTGCTTCCCCCTCCTTCAGTACCCCAGACACTGACAGTTCACCAGCTTCAGTGTGGATTGCTGGGTGCTATGCTGAGTGATTGGGATGGGCTGCTGGGTGCTATGCTGAGTGATTGGGATGGGCTGCTAGGTGCTATGCTGAGTGATTGGGATGGGATGCTGGATGCAAGGATGATGGCAGTGTCCCTCCTGCCCCCAGCACACTCTGCTTCCTGATTGGGGTCTCAACAAGCCCACTAGGGGTTAAAGGACAGCTCTCTCTGTCTAGGATGAAGGTGAGGCCAATACTCCTTAAATCCTTCCTGCCTGAGGACCCCCTTGGTCATTTTGGGTTTTTTTTAGTACTAAGGATTGAACCCAGGGGTGCTTACCACAGAACCACATCCCCAGCCCCTTTTACTTTTTGTTTTGAGACAGGATCTCACTAAGTTGCTTAGGGCCTTACTGAGTTGCTGAGGCTGGCCTTGAACTTGCTATCCTCCTACCTCAGCCTCTTGAGTCACTGGTATTACAGGTGTGTGCCACGGGTTCCACCTTGGTCTAAGGGAACTGAAAGTAATGTGGTCGTATGTTCAATTCCCTCCTTCCCTTCCTCACATCCAATAATTAATAAATCAATTCACTCATTTTCAGTGACTCTCTTCACCTCACCTGAGTCAGCATGCCTTACAGTGTGCTTCACAGAGGAGCACTTGTTTAGATTTCTTAATCTGTCTTTTTGCAAGTAAAAATTTTCCTATCATCAAATAAGTGTGGGGACAGATGGCCTCTTGTCTCCAGGTCTTCTTGGGTCAAGTGTCAGGCTAGCTGGGATGTGAACTTCTAGGAGGTAGCAACACAACAGTATTTCCCAACATCTTAGATGCTGGCTTTCTTTTTTAATAGCTTCATCTAGTGTGTGGAGAAGTGCTGTCCTTGAGTAGCCAGTCTATGTCCTATCCAGCTGGCCTGGAGGCTTCAGGCTTCAGAAGAAAATGAGTTAAAATCCCTGCTCTCAGTTGGCTCATAGCCAGGAGAACTGAGCTCCTGGTGAGAATTGGTTGAGACCTTTTTTTTTTTTCTCATTCTTTTTTCTCCTCCCCCTCCTCCCTCTCCTGGTTCCCCCAGTGCTGGGGGTCAACCCAGGGCCTCATGCTTGCTAGGGAAGTGCAAGCGCTCTACCATTGAGCTATATCCTTGGGCCCTGGACCAGGTCCTTGCACCTGTTTGCTTTGTATGAGAGTCTGCTGGGCTCCTGTGCCTCTTGTCACCAGGAAGGGGCAGGACTATCTGGGCGCTTGGCCTTGGAGCTGCCTCAGACCTGGGCTCAACATGCCTGGGGTCTCTTTGTTCCCTGCCCCCAGCTCCCCTTGCCTACCTGCAAAGTTTTCTGAACTCGGGGCCTGAGCAGTTCACCTCCCTTTGGTTAGAATCATTTCCCAGCTGCAGTTGAACTTGAAAATGGATCCCCCATTGCGTTGTATCAGGACACTCCCTGTGCAAACCTTTAACTCTCCCTCTCATAGATTGGTCTAGATGAGTCCGTCTGTGTCTAATACTGAGTGCTACTCTTTCACACACATTAGCTCATCTGATCCTGAACCTTAGAAAGGATAGGTAGCCAATCCAGGGTCACATTTGATCACCATCTGGCTTCCCCCTGAACCTCACCTTGAATGGAAAACATAGTCAGGTCCAGGGTAAGCCAGTGTGAGAGGGTGGGGAGAGGGTTGGCCCACCATGGCTGGGGCTAAGGATTGCTGAAGAAGCCTCTGTCCACTGCTTATTCAAATCCTCCTTCCTCTCTTTTGCAAAGGAGATTGAGGCAGAGAGAGCAAGAGCCAGGATTGGAACCCAAGTGTGCTAGTTTCCAATTGCTGCTCTAACAGGTGTCTACAAATGTGGT